AAAAAATTAAAAAAAAAAGAATATTACTTCCTCTATTTTGTCCAGACTGGTTTGTTGCAAACTGTTTTCTCTGTTGCTGTTGTAACTGTTGCTGTGTAACCTGTGGCAACTGTTTTATTTGGGTATTTGTTGGTCTTGATGACTGACGATTGGTTAATCTTTGAGGCACACCCTGACGTTGCTTTTTCGGATCATCATCATCGCCACGAGTTGGTACGGTACCACCAGATGTCTGAACACCTGCATCCATAGTAGGACTTTTTCTTTGCTGAGGTGTGGGTGTGGGAGTTCCTGATCTAGATCCTGTTAGAGAGAAGTTTATGTACATCAATCTTATATCATAACCAAAACACTACAATCCTTTGTTAAAGTTTATGTACATCAATTTTATATCATAACCAAAACGCTACAATCCTTTGTTAAAGAGAAGTTTATGTACATCAATCTTATATCATAACCAAAACACTACAATCCTTTGTTAAAGTTTATGTACATCAATTTTATATCATAACCAAAACACTACAATCCTTTGTTAAAGTTTATGTACATCAATTTTATATCATAACCAAAACACTACAATCCTTTGTTAAAGTTTATGTACATCAATTTTATATCATAACCAAAACACTACAATCCTTTGTTAAAGTTTATGTACATCAATTTTATATCATAACCAAAACACTACAATCTTTCAAATTTCCTTCTTTAGTACTATCTACTAGTTTCATTACTCCAGACGTCACTTTTCAGGATTGAATTTTACAGATCTAATTTTTCTTTTTTTTCTAGTCATAGTTTTCATCATCCCAAAATTCCAACTAACGTTACTTTTGCCCTCTAAGCTCTCCCTACAGTTAAAACGATGACTAATTACATAAAAGAAAGTAAAATCTGTAAACTGACATCCTAAAAGTACAAGTTATAAAATCATAAAACTGGAAGAAAATAATAAAGAGAAAAAAGATGAGTTCAAGGATCATAGAGTTTCTATAGACACTTTACTAATGATGCTTGGTTTCCCCGTAACGGACAAGTTCAAGGATCATAGAGTTTCTATAGACACTTTACCAATGATGCTTGGTTCCCCGTAATGGACGAGTTCAAGGATCATAGGGTTTTTATAGACACTTTACCAATGATGCTTGGTTTCCCCGTAACGGACGAGTTCAAGGATCATAGAGTTTCTATAGACACTTTACCAATGATGCTTGGTTCCCCCGTAATGGACGAGTTCAAAGATCATAGGGTTTCTATAGACACTTTACCAATGATGCTTGGTTCCCCGTAATGGATGAGTTCAAGGATCATAGTGTTTTTATAGACACTTTACTAATGATGCTTGGTTTCCCGTAACGGACGGGTCAGTTCGAGTAGAATATTCTAAACCAGTGTTGCTACACATTCTGCTATTACAAAGCCTTTACTGGGTCAGTCAGAGTAGAATATTCTAGACCGGTGTTGCTACCTGTCATTTAGCAGCACATTCTACTATTACAAAGCCTTTACTGGGTCAGTTCACGAGTAGAATATTCTAGACCGGTGTTGCTACCTGTTGTTTAGCAGCACATTCTGCTATTACAAAGCCTTTACTGAGTCAGTCAGAGTAGAATATTCTAGACCGGTGTTGCTACCTGTTGTTTAGCAGCACATTCTGCTATTACAAAGCCTTTACTGGGTCAGTTCGAGTAGAATATTCTAGACCGGTGTTGCTACCTGTTGTTTAGCAGCACATTCTGCTATTACAAAGCCTTTACTGAGTCAGTTCGAGTAGAATATTCTAGACCGGTGTTGCTACCTGTTGTTTAGCAGCACATTCTGCTATTACAAAGCCTTTACCGGGTCAGTTCGAGTAGAATATTCTAGACCGGTGTTGTTACCTGTTGTTTAGCAGTACATTCTGCTATTACAAAGCCTTGACCGGGTCAGTCAGAGTAGAATATTCTAGACCGGTGTTTCTACCTGTTGTTTAGCAGTACATTCTGCTATTACAAAGCCTTTACTGGGTCAGTCAGAGTAGAATATTCTAGACTGGTGTTGCTACCTGTTGTTTAGCAGCACATTCTGCTATTACAAAGCCTTTACTGGGTCAGTCAGAGTAGAATATTCTAGACCGGTGTTGCTACTTGTTGTTTATCAGCACATTCTGCTATTACAAAGCCTTGACCGGGTCAGTCAGAGTAGAATATTCTAGACCGGTGTTTCTACCTGTTGTTTAGCAGCACATTCTGCTATTACAAAGCCTTTACTGGGTCAGTCAGAGTAGAATGTCACTTTCATAGTAAGAACAGTAATATTTTTCATCTTACAGTTTCATAATTTCTACTCCCCTCCTCAACAAATACCTTACCTTTTATTTTCTCTACCCACTAACTGTATAAAATCAATGTACATATATAATTGAAAAATGTGAAATAAAATCAAAAATAGCCCCCCCCCCCTTAAAGTAGAAGTAATGCAGAAGTAATACAACTAGTTATGGTTGGAAATGGCTTGAATGGGTAATGAAGAAAAACTTTAATATCAGTTTAACATAACAGCAAATGTACAACATTTCGACAAGGTTTTGTCATCATTACCCATTCAAGCCATTTCCAACCATAACTAGTTGTATTACTTCTGCATTACTTCTACTTGAAGGGGGGGGGGCTATTTTTTTTTTTATTTCA